TTTGAGTAATAGTTACAGTATTGATCAATGCAGTATTACTAAATGATATTTGAGTAATAGTTACAGTATTGATCAATGCAGTATTACTAAATGATATTTTGAGTAATAGTTGCAGTATTGATCAATGCAGTATCACTAAATGATATTTGAGTAATAGTTACAGTATTGACCAATACAGTATCACTAAATGATGTTTGAGTAATAATTACAGTATTGATCAATGCAGTATCACTAAATAATATTTGAGTAATAGTTACAGTATTGATCAATGCAGTATTACTAAATAATATTTGAGTAATAGTTACAGTATTGACCAATACAGTGTTACTAACAATAATATAAATACAATATTTTTGACTGATTTTGTACATATCAAATTTTGGTCATAAAATAGTCAATGATATCATATTAATAGATATAACTGTGGTGACATAAATAACAATACACAATTTGATACTGACATTGAACACCAATGCAGAGAGAAATATTTTTATGACAAAAATACCTTTGATGGGTCGGCATTAGCAAAGACTACATATAAACCTGCATGCTCAGCATTAGAAATCCATAATTTAGTTCCATTTAATACATATTTATCACCATGTTTCACAGCTTGAGTCTTCATAGCAAAGGCATCACTTCCGGATCCTTCTTCAGATAAACAAAAACTACCACACTGCAAACAATAATAATCAAAGTAGCTAAGTCATGTATCTTTCATCTTGTACATTTCAAGATCACCATTGACTCTTCTGTACTTGCTCTATTAGTAACACATGCACTTGGATAAACATTAGAGGAGATTCTATGATTAAAATAAGACAATTTGAAGATTAAGTATTCAACAAATGCAATTTTGGGTTTATAAGCGTTTCTATTGGAGATGAGTTTTTAATAGAGCAAACGCAGTATGTATTTTGGGGTAAAGATACCATTACCTCAAAATAAAAATAGCATGCTCAGTTATTAACTTTAAAAGAGTGTCTTACTGATCACTGACAAGTTTTTAACAAGTTTTTACCCCCTGTTGGTTCCCCAAGTAACTTGGGTGGTCACTATACACAGGTTTTCACTGTAATTTAAAAATAGTTTATCCTGAATGCAGTTACTTACAAATTCAGTTGCAAGTTTTGGAAGAAATCTGGCTTTTTGTTCCTCAGTAGCGTTATTATTTATGGCTGTATTCACCACCGTATTATGGACATCAACACAGGCAGCCACAGATGGGTCGACTTTGGCAATCTCTTCTATGACAAGATTGGCAATAAAGAAACTTAATCCTGAACCACCATACTTGTGATCGATTTCAACTCCCATGAACTAGTAAGATAAATAAAACAAGAAAACATAAATAAAACCACATCTACTGCAGAATTCAGAGCATGAACTTCAGAGGCATCAAAAGTGAGGTAATTGCCTTGATACCCAGAGGATTTGCCATGATACCCTTTGAAAAATACAGATACTCCCTGTACTGCTTTTATTAAATTCGGTCATGGAACCGGGTGCTCTTTCAATTCTGAAGCTGCAGTGTCGAGAATTCTTTTATTAAAAAAAGTTTGGTTGTATTAAAATACCACAGTACTAGTAATTGCACCAGTCAAGTTTGATACAATGTTCTTAAGTGTGAGGATAATCATGCAGTCAATTTCTTGTAGACGAAATGTATTTTGCTACATGTACACGTCACAGCAACCGCCATCATTTATCTTCTTATTTTTTTTACGTTAACACATTGGATTAAACACATTCAATAATGTATATACATGTATTGTAGTTAACAATGGTTGGGTTATTCAAATTACATACACATTGATGTAATCTTGAGGATTGCGAAGTCACAATTTAATCATAAGCAAATAGGCCACATAATTACCATATATTTTTACTGTTATGGACAATAAGGATTTGTATGATATGATTGGCTGAAAATGCAAAAAATTAATAATGCATAAAAAATTATAATATCCTATGATGTAAGCTCTAAATTGATTGATTTTATCAATGGATGCTTCACAGCGTAAGCGATTTCTTGAGGACACCGAGACACAGACCATAGATCCTGTATGAATGGATGGCTAGCTTTTATTTGTGTTCCATACATACCCCTTGTTGAAAGAGTGCATCAATAAGTTGTTCATCCATGTGTGAAGCTTCATCCATTATTTTAACACGAGGTTCAATAACTTCTTTAGCAAATCTTCTGACAGTATCCCTCATCAGTTGCTCCTCATCATTCAAGACTGTCAGCGGTTCAGGCATAGTGGACTGCTGACACCCAGACAAACTGCTCTGCCAAATCTGTAATTTTCACATAAAAATGGTTATTTCACAGATGGCCACTTGGCTACAGCTTGCGTATACCATCTTGGAAGAAGAAAATGTTCAAGAGAAAAGATTGCATATTCTATTCTAATGAGTAAATGGTAAATGTTTTTACATCAATGTTGTACATAATTTGTTTTTTTTATTTACAATTCATCACAACATACAATAGGCATCACATTTAAAAAAAATCATTTTCTTGGTTGGGTATTTTTAAAGATGCAATAAGGACAAAAACTTACATTTTTAATATTGTTATTCAATACTCAATACTGTAGACTAAATCAGATTATAATTTATCATAAACTAAAAATGTTGCGCTTATAGGATACACAAGTGTATTTGTTAGTTGAAAAATCAAAACCACTGACACATGTGCAGTGATTGTACATACCAAAACAACCAATGCACATGCATATTAGTGAATTTTCATTGATTCATCAAATGAATACTCAGATGGGTGTTTCAATAACCACATTTTCAGGACATGACAAATCAATTATTCAATGTAATCATCAATATACAGTATCAACAAATTTAAAAATTACATGTTCTCATCCATATTGCATCTTTAAACTTATTGGGGGGGGGGCAAGGGGGATAGCTGATACAGGTTACATGAAATAAATACGACATTTATGTTTTTACAGGAAACAAAATGAAAGCTACATTTACAGTAAAACATAAATTTTTACACTTTACAAATAAAGCAAATTCCTAATTCAATTTTACTTTTTTATAATATTTTTGATAATTTGAGTTTAAGAATCAAAATTGGAGATTACGTACAAATAACGACATTTAATTTGAAAAATGCTTTATACACTTACAAAAAATAATATCTTTGTACAAATTACGGACGAATAAAAAAAACTGATTACATTTTACGCCTTGTTAATGTCTATGATTTACATTTTTTGTTTATTTAAATTACATTATTACAAAAATTAAAACAATTGATTACAGCTTAGGAAAATACCCTTTGCTGACCCTCTTATTAAGCTTAATAAATGTTCTACAAATGTGAATTTTGAGATTATTCATATAGCTTTATTGGGGCCGTCTACTATAATTTACTATTTACATACTACAATATTTTGTAAGAACTTTCAATTTTATTGTTTTGAGTTCCAATACTAATTTATTAAAAGTAAAAGAATGTACTTTTCTAAAGATTCCAGTCTATTCCATTATGTGAAATATTCAATGTTGTCTGTGAAATCTTTTAGGATTCACAGATGTTCTGAATACTACAAAAGGAACACTTTTCCTAACGAATATGTTTCGCTAGGGACTTAAAACAGACAGAAAAACTAAATCGATAATAAAGTTCCTTTTAGGCAAATCTACTACACGTTGAAGTGACCCTTGTATCTTTATATTCATCATAGAGCTAAGAATAGACGACATGCCCTTATCGGGGCCCTTATATATCATGCACGAGTTTTCGTACAGTTGTCACTGTGGTCTTTTGAAATTGAAATACATCGAATATATTAGTGGTCTCAAGGTCGCATTTTCATTCTTTAAATTATTAGTACTGTAATATAACTGATATGAATTACCCGGGCAGATGCTGGCAACACATTGCGGACAGCACACCGGACCCTCGTCAACATTGCGGCAGCCATTTTGTGGTATAAAAATGGGTCACATATGGCCGCTTTAAAGGTCAATGTTAACAATTACGTCAACATAACATATCGTTCGCTGAATGAGCCTCAGAATATCACAGTTAATAATTAATTTTATGTAAATGTACTTTGTGATACGAAATTAAGTTATAAGTCATTTTAGAGATGCATTGGCTTTTCGTAAAGCATGGCAAAGTCACAATATTTCTATGCTAGGGAGTACAAAAGTGCCCGTATGTGGGTCTTTTCGGCTGCCATCTTGTCGCGAGTAGGTATGGTTAACATTGCATCCTCATAATCATCGACTTGAATCGCGTGAAATACTTACCATCTTACCACGTACGTCCTGCAAATTGAAGCCATGTTTCCGAACTCACTAATGTGTTAATTATTTTACAATAAAGTTTAAGACAGTGCATCGTAAATAGATGTCAATCTCAGTTTTCGCCCATCATAACAGCAGACAAAATGGATGACCAACGAAGGATAGATACTAAACACACAATTCTTCGTGTTTAGGTATATCGTGGTTTCGCAAAAAATGTATTCTCTTCTGGAAGAACAACCACTTTGCGTGTATGAACGAAGCATAGAGTGGCTTGTTTTAAACTAGTTGTTTCATATTTGTATTAGTTACTAGTCTTTAACGTGAACGTACATTTCGTTTGCAGCTGTGTGTAACTATGAAGCGAAACCCATTTACGACTTCCTCCAGGAGGAAAAATCGTAAGCGACACTTCAATGCCCCTTCTCACGTAAGGAGAAAGTTGATGAGTTCTCCACTATCTAAGGAACTTAAACAGAAATACAATGTAAGAAGTGTACCAATCAGAAAAGACGATGAAGTGCAAGTAAGTATACATTGGTGATATGCATACACGAGGGTTGGATTTAGACTTTCCTGTAAAATGGATAAGGAATGGAAGTCACCATACTAAGGTTGAGTGTCCATTTTCAAAATTTGATTCAATTGCACAAATATTTTGTATTTTTCTAAGGCACTAAGGCAAACTTCTTGGGTACCGAGGCAGTTAGTTTGTTGCTCACTTAAATTTCATACAATCAACCAGCACGTCTTAGATTTTAGTTTGTGTAATGAACTGATTCCTAAAGACAGACCTATCTCACGATCCCCTAAACTTTGCCTTGGGTGTTGGCATGTGTCAGTTTTGATGATTGGTGACCCTTTATTTGAACAATTTTAAGGGAAATATTGATACAAAAACTCTGGACCAAGCTTCATGTGTTGCACACATCTTCAGTAAATCATGTAGTTTATCCACTGTCTACAATATCTGCACTTTAGCCCCTGCTATAGTTCCATTATTTCTGTTGCGACATGGAACTGATTTTTTATTTCTACATTAATGTTTTGTTTTTGGTGAAATAAATTTTATTCATTTCCTTTCACTTATTTGACATAAACTTGGTCTTATTCTGTTGTAAGTCGCAATAGAGCCATCAATGTGTATACCAAATAAAAAATGAAAATCAGCAACCATGAAGGCTTATGAGCCAAAGCAACCTATGCTCTAGACCCAGATTTGAGAATGTGGTGCAAATGATACTTGTTCAGGCAATGCTTCATATAACCTTGTCAAACAGTTTTTGCGAGATTGACAAAATTAAGACTGCCTCCTAGAAGCAGTGAGATTAATATGTTGCTATGGGCTGTAAAACCTCGTCTTACCTCACCTCGCATCATATTTGTATAAAAAAATTAATATAGTGCTCTAACAAACTTTGCTGTACTTGTTGTCCCGAGCTATAAGAAAACTACCCTTAGTGTCTAGCCCTGTTGGCATGCCCAGTCCTTGAACCTTAGTCATCGATGGCAATTGCCCCTGTATTGAGAATTACAGATATTCTTTATATTGATCCTACATGCTACATCATTTTTGTTTGTCCATAACAAATTTGGTCGAGAAACTGGGAGTCTTATCAGCAGTGACTGTATTTTCTAGGCACTCAAAATACTATGTTTTGTTCATAGGTAACTCGTGGACATTACAAAGGTCAGCAGGTTGGTAAAGTTGTGCAAGTTTATCGTAAAAAGATGGTTGTATACATTGAAAGAATCCAGCGTGAAAAAGCAAATGGTGCCTCTGTTTATGTTGGTATACATCCAAGTAAGGTAAGAAATGAGATCTTCTGTGTACAATATAATGGAACACATTTAAACTTTGAAGTGATGAATCATAACCTGTACAACTGATACATATATTTGTGTCTGCAGGTCGTGATCGTGAAGCTTAAATTGGACAAAGACAGAAAGAAGATCCTAGAAAAGAAAGCAGCATCAAGAGTTGCAGCAGATAAAACAAAAGGAAAACACACAGAAGAATCTGTTGCCATGGCGACCGATTAAAATTGACATGTACATTTTCTTTTTTTGTCAACATTAAAAAGAGGATGTAAATATTGTTTGTTTGTGGCGTTTTTTGCAAGGGAGGTAACTTGGTGTGGGTCCACTGGATTGGATGTTAACTATGCAAATAGTGCATTCTGTAACGCCGTGAGACCGAAGACAGTTGCGTATACAAAATGCTGACCATGAGTGTAGCTGTTGCACTAATAGCCCATCTACAAGGTGTGATTAAGACAACGAATATGCAAAATAAATGCACGTTCTGATTCGCCCCATTGCTATCAGTCAAAGGTACATTTGCTTAAACACTAAAAGCTCCATTCAGTGCAGATGTGTTTTTGAGACATCTACTTTTGTATTGTTATGCCAACAAAATCCTGCAGATTTGGGGATGAGAGGTACTGACTTACAATACAAAAGTAGTGGTTTGGCCAACTTTTTCTCATTTGGAATTTCGCACTTTGACACCGCACCTGTCCAAGCACAATGTTCATAAATGGCTGACACTAACAAGTGTTGGAATTACTAAGACTGCCACCACAGAAGTAGAGTGACTGTGCTGCCACTTTAGTTGAGATATGGTTGAAAAGGCAGATTTCAACCGTTGAAAAATCATGGCCAGGAAATCAGTTCAAAAACTGTAGAGCTTAAAACGACTAAGCTATTGTGGTTCTAGGAAAAAACAGATTATGAGATTTAATGCTACACTTCTGGTCAGTCTTGAATCGCATGATTTACAGACCGACTGGCCAATAGTGCACCAAATGCACTTCCTAAAAAAATTGAAGGCATTTTTGTGAAGGCTATTGCTCGCTTGAATAACCAGCATTTAATTTAAAGCATTTTCTTGAACTTCAAAACAATTTAGGCTCAAACTGCCGATTGCACAGTATCAGTTTCCACTCCACTATTAATTAGTTCACCGAATCCACTGAAAGGAGAAAAATAATTAGATAAGGTAAGACCATGACTGATGAGGTTCTTGAGTTTCTGAATCCTCCCAAATCAATTAGATTTCCTATTCGACAATAAGTCTAAAATATAGCGTAGAGCTTTACCAGATAATTATGTTGGCAAGGAAAATAATTAATATATATATTCTTTATTTTGAAGGGTTTTGTAGTCACTGCTATAATCTATAAAGGGTCATGCAGATTGATTTACAGGTGCACATATTTTTTTTTTTTCAATATTAAACAAAAAAAGGTGTTTGTTTTCATTCATTTCTATGCCAATTCCTCACTAATATATTGCCCAATTCAGTGAAAAATGTGTACATAAGTAATAATGCTGTAATGTACATGTAATATTGTTAAATGTGTTAGTCCCCTTTCGATGGCACTCTGAAAATGAGGCATTAGCTGATTCACGTCCATGGATGCATTTATATCTATCAGACTTCGGTATATAGGACATACATGTATGCACATTATAGTCTCTAATGCCATTGAACTGAATAATAATTCTGTCAATTATGGCTTAAAGTATGGAATGCCTGGTTTGCTTGATTTGTTTCCCAGCCAATTTTGACGAATCCGCCTCTTAAATAAAACAGGGGCGTTGCAGGTCACAGGTTTCAAAACTTCACTACTTTAAGTTCTTTCGGATTTGTAGCATGATTAACAGCATGTATATATATATATATATATATATATATATATATATTCACACCTCTGCCTTATTGTTTAAATAAATACTTAGCTTGAATGTTAAATGAATTATCAAAAAACTAGAAACTGAGAATAAAGTTGGGCAGTCAGAAACTACTGACCATTTTATTCATGACCCTGTGCTTGGTTGGCCACCATATGAAAAACCCCATATGGGGTGATTCATCCCTGTGAGGAAGTAAAGTACCATGACAACTCTATTATCTATAAAAACTACAAATGCTTAGCTTGACCGATAAGAGCACGTCTATTTCATCACATTTGGGTTCTAAATACATGGGAACTGGATCTAAATCCTGCGTTCTGTTTAAACTTTGTTCAAACATTGAACGAAATGGAACCTTGATGACATCTTATTTTTCATGTCTGGTTTTGGATTCACATCTCCAGCATATATAAAGTTCACACATACAACATACATTGGACAAAAGCACATCTATTTTACCATCAAATCCAAAATGGCTGACTCGCAGTCACCTTGAAATAAATGCAGTTCCACAGCCTTATCCTGTACAAGCCTGGATGAGTCAAGTTTGAACTTTATATCACACATGTTATATAATACTCATTAATTGATTGAATTCAAATTTAGACCATAGTGAATCTGTAGGCATGCAACTGACTGGCTATCATAATGTTTTATAGAATACTGTGTAATTGTCCTAGTTCTGATATTTCATTCCTGTACACACATCAATTCACACAAATTGTTACATGGCACTAACATACTGTTACGGGACAAATGTTCGTTGGCCATTTTAGTTGATTAGTTTATGTTGATGAGAGTAGGTACAAAGGCAAGGCATGATAGTATACCTACACACTTTAATTTGTGTTTTGATTTTACCGACTGCTGGCCATTTTTGTCCCACAAATGGCATGCCAGGGTCAATTTTCATTCAAACTTGGCATGAAAATTACATGTTTTGTTTTGCTGTTTAATTCCAAATTTCCAAATGGTTTATGTGTAGATTATACGGTTTTGTATGATATGAAAAACTTATTCCAACGAGTTGTCAATTTGACTGAACAAAACCAAGGTAAGGTACTATGGTATATTATATTAAAAATCATATTGTTAACATGCTGAATACTTTTCTTGATATTTAATTCTAATATATCAACATTTTTCATTGTTTATAATTAACACAGTCACTTAAAAAATTAACATGGAATATATCATTGAAAATTACTTGTTTACTTTTATTACTTAATTTATTTGGAGTCTATCAAGTTTAATTTCGGATGTACATTTGTTAAAAGATACAGATGAAAGTTTAGTTTAAAAAAAGCAAACATGGAAATACATGGAAGTTAAGGGAATTCTACTTGAGACGCATGTTATTACACTAAGGGTACTTTCTAAGATCTGCTGTAACCTGATATGTTGTTTTGTTGTGCAGTATAAATTATTTTTCAAATATATTTCTGACTTCAAAGCACTCACAATCCTTTTGTGTAACATTTGAAACTGGCTGTAATCATTTTCCGCATGTTAAAATTCCAACACCTTTATCGCACCATCTTATTTATTCCTGCCAAGGTATCTATGAACACAAGGTTGCAATTTGTACACTATGTTTTTGATTATTGGGAACAAATTATTTACAATTCATATATATGGCATAAAATAATTTTGTTAAATATTCTCTCTTGAAAATTAAACATTTTACATTTTAAAATGCTGATTCTGGTTAAAAAATGTCCAACAGATTATGATATCGATATTGTTTTGGTACAGCGTGATCTATTTCATGTCTTGTAGTGCAGTCATTGCTGCGTTTTTTCCTGGAGCTCCCATTACACCACCACCTTAAGAAAAAGAAAAATACACAAGTTTTGAACAATGGAAAACAACTGGATAATCTATTGGTGTTGTCATTTCTGGGTTTGAGCATACACTTCAACATGGGTTTATGTGTTCTGTCTTGAACTTCTGCCATATTTGGTAACATAGCTATGTCTGAAGATGGTAGAAAGTTACACGTGTAATCACAGGCTGGTAATTTACTATGCACCTTATTTGTTACTACAATGTAGTATATTAATTGTCTTTATTTGGACAGTGACTCATTAGATGTCTGATTATTTTATTTTCACACGGACAGTGACACGCGTTCTACACTGATACACGTTGCTAGGGCGTAACACTATCTTGGAACATATGAATGCGCATTGGGGTCCTGTGACCTAAATTCCATACCGGTTTGTTGCATGTTCTTTCTTTAATATGAAATAATCAAATATGGAACATGTAATAATAACAGAACCCCACACCCTCCCTGTGGCTTTCGTTACGTATGGAAGTTATTTTCACTCAAGATGCGGTGTATGCTGCTGTACCACATTACTCGTGAAAATACGCAACGAAAGCCACAGGGAGGGTGTGGGGTTTTATCATATTATTGTATACTGCATCATTCAAATATGATTTTGTTTGGCCATTGAAACACCCTGTCAATACCACGTTCAACACAACGGTCTTTTTTTTAGATGATAAATATGCTCCATATTAATATTTACCTGGATGGCCTCCACTACCACAAAGATAGAGGCCAGCAATGGGTGATCTGTAACTGGGTCTTGCAAGATACAACTGGTCTAATGACATAGCACCATGAAAGATGTTCTGAAAGAAAACATAAGGTGTTAAATCGTCTTCATATAGCGGTCTACACTAAACCATGATTTGCAAAAATCATTAAAACCACTAATTATGTTACTACAGTTCTATGGAAATGCTGTTTTCTGTGTTAGTGCTATGCACATAGTTGCTAAGGACACGCCCACAAGAAAAGGGACATGAGTGAACACTTAAAGTAGAGAATTTAAGTAAAATCTGATTGAGTTCTATGGGCAATAGATATGAAATATCGATAGAAATTTTACCAAAAAATATATTTACAGAACATTAAAAATTTACAGCAACACTCTGGTTACCTGCGTCTCCAAATCCAAATAATCTGGCATGTAGTTGAATAGGTGAACATGGCATAAATATTATCTTAAAATTGAGAATTGGTGATATCAATAAATGTACAAATACGATATAAATCCACCAAAGACACATGCAAAATAAATTTAACTACTGTAGACTACGTGTCAGAAAATATTTAAATGTTTATAATATGTATTCTCCTACCAAAGCTTCATGTCATTGCACATGTCAGATGAAAATCTCCACATGACAAGTTTTTTTGCAGTTTCGTGTACCAGTGTCACATCATGATAGAATGAGAAAATGTTTATTGCACAAGCAATAGGATATTGTATGTATAAAGCATATAAATGTATTTGAAAGCCTGTATTTCATAATAAATGTTACCTGTAAAAGTTTGCATAAATTTTTTCATTGAGGTACTGAATAATACAAAATACAAAAATGAAAACCACTTTTTTTTTCAATTTTCCTATGGGCAAAAAGCAAAAACAAATTGGCCTTACCCCTCCAGTCAGTCCAAATATTCTTTCCAAATCCGGTGGAGTGAGAATATCACGTCCAACTACGCTAGACTTGAAACCCGGAGCATACTGTTCAATAACATCAAATACTGAAATAAATAAATACAATAATTATAGGAGAGTTTGATAACATTTATACAACCGCTAATTAGTGAAAGAACATAGTGAACAAAGACCCTGTTTATTTTAATTTGAATGAAAAATGTGTGAATACACAAATGAGATGAATGCATCTGGTCACATATTTGGGTTCTAAACAGATTGTAAAATGCTTATGATGGTGTCTATATCAGTCACCCATCCCTTCTACTTAATAAAATCTAAACAAAATATAAAATAAAATCTTCCATGTTGGTGTTCAACGTCGGCCACACTCAACATAAGCATATGTTATTACATTTATAGGTAACAATAATAATGACATACTTTTATCAGCATAATTATTTCTCATTGTATCATCCCATTCTTTGCCATCTTTCAGTGTGTACGGAGTATACTGTGTAAACAAAGAGATCACATGACTTCCGGGTGGTGCGATGGTTGGATCACATGATGACGGTATAACCATTTCTATCATTGGTCTGTAGATTAAGGTTAACATTTTTAAAGATTTTTTAAAATAAAAACAAAAGCAATTTCTCTAATCATATATGAGGGCACTCAAAAGGTTACCTTACTATAATTCAAGCTTGAGAATAAGTCATGAAAATTATAACAAAATATTTTACAGTAGGTAATATGAAGTGAAAACGAAAGTAATCTGTCCATTAAGTTTAGGGCGTTCTATATGCGCAGCTCACACACAAATTTTAACTTTTTAGGCCAGTTAGGAAAGAGGGTATCACAGTAGATTTCGATAGAATTTTTTCAAAAACACAAAAGAAATTTGCAACTTTTGTGAAAACCAAAAATATCAGTACACTTTGTATATCAATGTTGAAAAAAAAAAATAAAAAAAAAAACATTTGCTCATTGATTTTGGTAAATGTTTTCATTCCTGGCCTAGGATTCTGGAAGAGTATAAAACATCTATCGAGACTACTTCAGATAATATTCACAAGTTAGATAGTTCTCTCCTACCTGGTTGGTATTTCTCCTTGCAAGGCCTCATTGTAAGCTTCATCAATATATTGCATTGATTCACAGTTGAGGTGAATTGTACAACTATGATGCGGTGATGGACTGCCATCAGAGTTATTGGGAATTGCGGTAAAGTTAGGGAGTCTGTCTACAGCCACTGCAATATCAAACAATAATATATGATGAAACAATAACAACAAGAAGTTTGTCTTCATTCATGTTTTCAAGTGCACTGAGGTAGAAAATGTCAATAAAATCAAGGATGGTGCAACATTTTGTGCATCTTCATTTATTTTTCTTTAATTTCTTTGTTAATTTTAGATAAAATGAACATAAATTCACACTGGCTACAGGGCTCGATAAAAATAATTGAAAAAATATTGATAATTTATGCAAGTTATTGTATGAAAGGTGGTTTATTTTGCCATGATATCCGAACTGTGACTATAATCTTTCCAAAGACTTGGTTGCTCATATTCTTACCATTGATTTTGGTTACTGGTGATGTATAATCAATTTTGTTGATTTCATCAAAAAACTCCTGAGATAAGCCTGACCTTGGTACCAAGTCACAAAATGTCACCTTGGGCGTAGCATTTGAGAAAACCAATCTTGACTTGATCTCTGTACCGTCTTTCAACCTGACACCCGCTGATGATCCATCAGATTTCAACAATATTTTCTCCACAGTCTATGAATCATAATTAGACAATATAGTATTTAAAGCGAGGGAGTCGTCACCTGCGCATGCGTCAGATGGCCATAGCATGTCATTGTTTACAAACAAGCTTCCACCAATGATCGTCGTTGGAACTCAATTCCCGCGCGTGCGCAGGTGATGACCATCCCGCTTTAATTTACAATCATGAATTAGGAGGAATCATTGTACTCTGTCAAGTACATAGAAATGTGTTGCTAATGAATTTTTTTTTTTTTTGACCAACAAATTTCAAAATGGTTTATGTTTCAGTTTTCAGGGAAAACGTCTACATGCAGCTTCCCCAGCAAAAAATTATAGAAGAACTTGTCCACCATTAAAAGTCTTTTTCATCACATATGACATTTGAATGTGCAAATACTGCGCTTAGTTTCTACTGGTATCTGATTGGCTGAAATTCTGCTTCAATATAATAAGTGTTCTTGAAGAATTATAGGCACATAACAATGACCATATTAGACCAAGGAAAAACTATCCAAAGCAAAATGTGTGCATGATTGTTTACCACTACAGTATTTACCTGCTCAGTTAGAATTGTGGCACCATACGATAATGCTGCCTTAGCTATACTTCCAGACACTGCACCCATACCACCTTCAGGGTATCCCCATGCACCTTTTATGCCTTCTATCTCTCCCATAACATGATGTAATAATACATATCTGTGACAAAAACATATAGAATATTACAAAAATTGTATCAGTTGTACTTAAATAAATGCTTAGCAATTTGGGTGCCATATTTTTCCTACAAAAATTGTGAGCAACATTCAAATGAAATAAATGTTTTCTGGTCAACCAACGTGGCAGATCAAAAGAGCTGCTATTGTAAATTTAAAAGTAAAATCACCATTTTTAGCCTAATGTTTATACATACCCACTGCCAGGTGTTGTGGGACTCAACATGGCACCAATAACAGCATCGGTAGCTAGTGTCGCTTTCAGTGGTTCAGATTCAAACCAGTGATCTAGGATCTTGGTTGTTGGAGACGTTATTAATTCATAAAATGATGAGATATCGTCACTAAGCTTTACACCTATAAACAAAATATTATTGATAACTATAAATAGAACATTGATTCCTTCGAGTTTATTTATGGTGCGTAATGTCTCAATATTACTGCAAACAAATAATATACATACCTAAAGAAAAGAGTGCTTTTATGGATGGCAATGTTCGCAATTTCTGTTTAAATGTTCCTTTTGTAAGCCTTGGTATATCAACTGGAGGGTTATCTAGTAATGGTTCAATCGACTCGGCTATCTTACTAATCATTTTCTCATAACGAAAGTACGCCTAAGGAAAAGAAATTCTTCATTACTATAATATTTAGCATGAAAATAATGATAAAAGTGAGACTGTTGGTACTATATATGGTGGGAATCAAGAGGAATGTTCTTAAACAGTGCAAGCCATGCAAAGTGATAATCATACTTAAAGTTGAAACTGCCACAATTCATTATGTGTGGTTGACAAAGTTGCTTCTGATTCTTCCCATTTCATTGGGACAAGGTAAAACAACAAAATGCACTTAAGATTAAAGTATCCACAATTTGATTAATAAACGATAATATTTTGGGCATGTCTTATTTATTAATTATTTATATATTTAAAATATTTTATTAATAATTTGTTGGTAGTTTTTTTTTTAGTTTTGGTAGTCGCAAAAGTCATGGCTGTAGTTGAAATCATGTAATACAAAAAAAAATACAATAAAAAAATACACATCATTCAATATATAAGATTTTAATTAGCTTGAATGAATCCCATGATTCATCACTACAAAGTTAAACATCACCTTGGCATCTTTCTCTGAAAACTTGGCTATTTGGTTAAATGTTTCCTCTTTGTCGTTTCCTAAAAGAAGGTAACTGTTTTTCCCATCCAGGACTGGTGTGAAGGCAAATTGTTCACGTAAATATACCTTTAATCCATGTTTCTGTAAAAATAAATAGTTTTACTCAGTAAATGGTCATTAGTCGCAAAATTTGTTTTATTGACAGATTTTGTATTTTGTTCATCTTGTGGTAATCATGTCAGAATTTAATTTGTTTTTATGAAGTGTACTTAACACTATCTCTCTAAAATAGTATTGTTCCAAATTTGTTGTTCCATATATAACACTGAATTTAACAAAGCTACCGAATATTTGCATAAAAAAAAAATGTTAAACTAACTTTAAGTTCCAAATCTTTGTATATTTGGGGTCTTAGTAAACTCAGTACATAGGATGCTCTGGAAAACTTGAATCCTATTGAAATAAAACATAATTATATCATGGTAAATCCACTGATTTTATTATAAAGTTAGAAAAAACAAATGGTGGAATTTTTCATTATGAAACTCGGTAATATTTTAATATTCTCCATAGAGTCCATCCAATAAGTTTGTGACCCCCATTTTTTTCTTTTCTTTTTTTTTCCTCACAAGACATTACCTTGAATATTAATTGGCATTACCATAACAACATATATGAAAGAATCAGCAATTTCATGAAACTGTCACATTTAACTTGTGAAATAAAATTATTATTTACCAATCAGAATATTCTTTTCACAAAATATTTGTGGCAATGTCATTTTGGATTTGTTGGATCTAAATCATATTTGAATCAAAATGACTGATTCATGTATGAAATCAATTATTCACTTTCTGAAATCACTTAATAAAAACTTCCAATATGTGATGTATACCAGGAATGATCTCTTCAGTTACAGCTGCTCCACCAATCAGATGTCTCCTCTCAAGAACCAAGGTTTTCAACCCATTTTTCTGCAAATAAGCTGCCTAAAGAACAAAATATATTCAAGTAAATTATGTTTACATTCATTCAATTTCTTTATTTAGATTGACTGAGACTTGTAAATATTTGAATCGCTCTAAATTTGCAAACGAACATTTTTGAATTTTACTAGTTAGAGAAATGTGACAAATCTAATTTTAATAATGACTGCAAATTTTTTTACTGGAGATTGATCTCAAATCGTATTAAATAGTGTATCTGCATTAAATAAAGTAAGATTTTTTGTGTGATGACCACACTTTCCCCTTTAATAAATTGTGGATATCAGTGCTGTATAATGTACCAATTGTCAGGCAGTATGTCCTTCCCTCTGAATTTAACAGTTTATTTTGTCATTAATAGTGTACATGCAGACACCCTGCTTTTGGTAGACTGCAATAAAAGTATACTGCAATAGTTCAAAGGTCCATTACTTTACGAGATATTTGTTTTATAAATTTATCAAGCTGTTAAGTAAATTTCAAAATGTTTCAGCATACTTTTAACCCCAGCTACTTTATACATAGTTTCATCAAAGGACATCGGTGTATCTATTATATAAAGATATTTACCTCTTGATAATACCTGGTCAGGATAATATTTTAAAATTAATAACAAAACAATAGCATACACCTGGTGTGATGATGAAAAACACAAAGTAGCACTTCTTCAGACTTCAGACTCATTTTTTTTCACATTAGAATTTTTAGAAAATATACAAGTTTAATAACCATCAATTAACAATCATATTTGACAGATTAAAAGCACATATCCAATAAATGAACAATTCCATCTGTTTCTCTGCTACCAAAAACAGAAAATCTATTTTTGGAAGCCAAGCAGAGAAACAGATGGAGGAAACTGGGGTAATTATACTGAATCATTAGAATACAACAACAAATAGAGCAAATACAGAATCCAGAATGAGATCCGAAAGACACAAAAATATAATAATAATAATAATAATAATGTTTATAGACTTTACACTGACTAGGAATTACAACAGTATTTGGTCTTTAAAAACAATAAATAAAAGGGAAATGGTGAATTGTAGAGCAATGCTGTCTGTCTGTTAAGAAAACATGATATGCTACTCACAGTTACCAATCCATTATGACCACCCCCAATAATAACAGCATCATAATCTTCTTTCAAGACATCTTTAGAATACGTGGTAGATGCAACACAGAATGTACGGAATGCACTTTTCAATGTTTGTATTTTTAATAATGATATACCGTTAAGAAGCTTCAAACTCATTTTAACATTTCTCCAGTATCTGCAGAAGGAATTTAAACATTCTAAATTGGTTTTAATTGTACATGTTCAGAAAATGTATTGAAATTTGAACGATACAGTAAATATCATGAAGGCACAAATGTTTTTCTTAAGAAAATTCACAAAATATTTATTAAAAAAACAAAAACATCCATGCCTTCATGCAGTTAACTGCATGTAGTGTTGTTTTTTTTTTTTAGAAATTTTGCTATTCAGCACTCATACTGCATTGTTCGATGTGAATATAAATTTACCCACCCTAGTTCTCTCAATTTACCCCCCCCCAACAAATCAAATGGACAATCCCTAATGTTATGCCTATATGACCTACATAGACAAGTGAACATCTATCCAGATTAAGAATGTTTGTTACAGAACTCATTACGCAATGATTCACCTATAGCTCTTTGTGGATAAGTACCTGTAATAACTTTACTTTTTGCTCATTCAATCCGATTTGGTCATGTTAGTCTTGCAAAGGTCAATAGTACAGAATACTAGGAGTACCCTTATCTTCGTTAAAAGTTTAACATCGTTTTTTTTTTTGACTAACTTTGCGTATGTTTTGTCATGTTAAAACATAAATACTATAACTGTTTTAAAAGACTTTTTTTTTGTAATGTCGGACCGTACGAGTATTCTACATATCACTTTATCAACTTTTAAACAACCCTTTTTCAATGAGCTAAAGGGTCTCTTTTATTGGCGACTTCGCTGATCACATGACAGTGAGGAGACTATTCCAAAATGGCTGCTACAGCGACTGTGGTTCCTGTTGTCGTTATGACGTTGTTTTGGCTCCTTATTGGAGCCGTGGCACCGTTTCTCGTGCCGAAAGGACCAAATAAGGGGTGAGTATATATGTGAAGTTGTGTTTTAAAATTGACGACATCGGGTGTTTTTCAAACACGACATTTTGAAGATGGCTGATCGTGACTCAAGGTTAACCATCGGATCGGAATTAGTAATTCCATGAATGAATAAATAAATAGTTTTCGTTTAACGTCAACAATAAATGTTAATCCTAGTGATACACAAACCTTTAATTCGATACAAATGATAAATTGTCATTTGTTCGTGTTTGTGTCGATAGTCGTCGTACATCATGACGTCACCACCAGGATTATCACTACACCATACCCGCATCACGACCAGCATTTCTTGTCATTATTCCATAATTGTTTTTTTTTCTGTAGTTGTTCGTTATTGACGTGTGGTATTTAATTATTATGCTACTGTATTTGTTTCTCTCATAGGATTATTCAATTGATGCTCATACTCACTGCTATTTGTTGTTATACATTGTAAGTATTTTGTACTTCTTTAATTTGTAATAATATTTACATTCCGTTGCTTTTCAATATTTGCTGCTCTCACATGGCAGCTTTATCTGAGCCCTGTGACTCAAGCCAGCAAAAATGACTGTACGCGCGTTCGACTTGAGCCAAGTTTGGCTTTAATAAACTCTCAGGGTTGAGTCCGGATTTCGGAGCTGAAATCACGCCCTTAATCATCTTTTTCAAGTAACCTCTCATTTCAATTATGGCGAAGACAACATTGTTTGTAATTTCACGCAATTTCTGGCTTGACGAAAAGGTACGCGCACTTATATCTATTTGGCAGAGTAAACAAATACTGTGATAGATTGATAGCTCAACACGGAAAATGGTGTACGAAATTATGTGACAAAAACTTGAAAGGACGACTGAACAGATCCAATGGAAATTGAAGAAACTTTGTAAACACACCGTTAAAAATTGTAGAAACGGTCATGGTACGGCGACGTGCTCCTACACTGTTTAGGTTGACAACTGTTACACATATCACAACAATTGAACAATTACAAGATAGTAATTTTGCATGTCAAAAACTTAAGCGAATAGACTGTAACACATTCAGCGTATTTTAGCTGTTGTTTATCCTGTCAAGATACCTAAATCATAACACCGGTGCATTGTTTCAGACTCGTGACTGTTTCTTTTTTTCTCCCAGCATCCTGCCATGTAAAAAAAACAAAACACGAGCATGACACCAAAATTGAGGGCACTTTACATTTGGCTCTGATCGAGCTGAATTGAAATCTGGCAGATCTCGTCTCTCGTTCAGCCCCATCCATGGCAGCTATTTTTGAGCCTAGTTGAATTGAATGATTTGATTGTGTATGCTAAGCAGCATTCCTATAAAGGCAGCTCACATCAATTTAAAATTTAAACCAATAGATTTTTTGTTGTTTTAGCTTAACTAATAAAAACATGCAAACTATGGAAACTATCACAATGCGAAATATCACAATGTGCTCTGTTCACTATGGAAACGTGTCAGAGCATTTCGAGAGACCTACCTTAAGTACAGTTACTTTTACGAACAAGGCATGTTGAAAATTAACAACACTTTGAGTAATCTATAAAATTTGTGAAATTTTGGAAACATTAGAATTTTGTAACATATTTTAATTAACGACATAAGACTGTTACTGGAGATGTCTGTGAACATAAGCTATGTAGTTCAGGAAGGTTACATTGTTGTAAATAACTAGCAAAACTAATTTCTGCGTTGTGTTTACATTGACCCTGGTGACAGTGGAGTATGTCATAGTTGAACAAAAAGTTGTTGGACCCAGAACTAGGTGACACCACATGTTTCAATCTTTCATCTTGTTTTTTTTTTCAGTTGGGCACTTGCTTTTATTATGCAGTTAAATCCACTCATAGGACCAAGTTTAGAAAATACAACAATTTTAGCAATAGAATGGAACTGGGAAGTAAGTATTGACCCTCAAAATCATTACCACCATGCTTGATTTATGCACCTTATTCTATTGTCTGTGATTTTCTCAGCTATTTTTCTGTTATATGAGAATCGTTCTAACTGGTGATTTGCTATTGTTACCTGGGCATAAATATATACAGAAGTCAGAAAGTTTTCTTATTCAATCATGCCATGACTGCTGTAAAAAGAAAGGATTATTTCAATGTTGGAAAGTACTTGCGATGGAAACATCAATGAAATAGAAAAAATAGTTGCAAACTCTGCATAAGACCAAGTAAAACTGTTTGTCAAAAATTTTAACTTGGTTTTCATCATGGCTTGTGACCCTTGCAATAAGCACAATTCTCTGTATTGCCTAAGGTATCTATCCCAAGAGAATTAGTACAGATATCTAGGCCATTCTGCTGTAACTTTATATCCAATGGTTCATTACCAGTGTATTATATTTATAATATGTCACTCTGCCATCACCCATGTTTACTCAGCTCCCAGTAAATTGTTAGTGGAACTGTAGTAAAAGTTCAAATGTACAGGATTGACTGAATTTTCCTAAATTTCTCTCATTTCCAGGATTTTCATCGTGGTAGTGCTTCCAAATAATGACTAGATGTTTACATGTATATATTCTGATAGAGTCAAATGTTTTAATTCAGTGACATAAGCGTTATTGAAAACGCCCATCAATGATTGAATCTGCTGTGAATGTCATTCAACTCTCCATGGTTATGAAAGCTGTCCAACAATGCTGAAGTTTTCTTTGACTGAGCTGAAGAGCTTGTTTCTTTTTTTTGCTTTACACATATTTTACTGATTTGTGAATTCGTTAAACAAAATATATTTGGTAAAATTCGCTGAATCAAAACCTATAAAATAACAATATTATATGTATATATTCATTGTTGGAATTTAAGATTTCAAATACTGAATTCCTCTATTATAGGGC